GGCAGGGAGAAGACAGAGGGGAAGAATGGAATGAAGACGCTGATTAACTGAACCCACATCAGAAAATTGGCAGAGCTCAGGCTCTGGTGCTTCCTTATGCCTCGGGTAGCCTGTGACTACCTCAGAGAGCCACAGAGCTGACCTCACCTCAGTCTGCATTCATTAGTGACTTCTTTTCTGCCACTACCTGGATGCTACTTTTCTTTGTGCTGGGTTTTAGCCTCAAATGTTTCCTATCTTTGCTAAAATATTGAGGTAATATCCTATCATTTAAACACATATTGGGTTTATATGCTTCTGGGAATTTAGTTTGCCAACTCCAGGTTTGTTGATGTTTGTGTTGATGTTTTCTGGGTTTTCACAACACTCAATTCAGAGTTGATTCTTCTGTGGCTGCTTTGATGTCCTTCTAATATGTCTTCCCTGTCAGCCCAACCACACAATGAGGCAGCCGTGTGGCTTCACTGAAATAGTTTTATTAACTGGACCAACAGGAAATTTATGGTTCAAACTATGGTCATTCTGAGAGTGGAGTGGGGTTTTAATAGAGGGTGCCCTAACTACAAGAACAAATAGTGACCTCACATAGAGAGTACCAAGCTGAGCTGGGCGGTGGTGGCGCACGCCTTTAATCCCAGCACTCGGGAGGCAGAGGCAGGCGGATCTCTGTGAGTTCGAGGCCACCAGCCTGGTCTACAGAGTGAGTTCCAGGACAGCCTCCAAAACAATACAGAGAAACCCTGTCTCGAAAAACCAAAAAAAAAAAAAAAAAAAGAGTACCAAGCCACCCTATTTACAGTGTGTTGTGTTTCCTTGAATCCCCTGATATGTCCTTTGACTCACGTTGACTTATTCATCTAAGTGTCCAAGTTTTACTTCAGATTTGCCCCCTGGAGTGGGGTAATCTCTGCCCTCTTCTGTTTGTCTGAGTTTTCACATTTGCTGTGAAGGTCCTAAACCTCTTCCCCTCTGCCAACACCTCAGAACACTCAGCTTTCGTTTAATTTTATTTATGTTTCCCTTCCTTTCTCCCTCCCTCCTTCCCTCCCTCCTTCCATCTCTCCCTTCCTCCCCCTTCCTTCTCTCCCTCTTTCTTTTTATCCTTTTGCTTTGCAAACAGCCTGTTTGCTTTATCTGTTTTCTTTAGTATATTGGTTGAGACACTCTGACTTTGCTAGAATGAAACCAGTTTTGTCATGGTGTGTGATATTTTGCTGGCTTTTTAAATCTGGAATACAGACGTTTGTTGAGAGTCATGTCCATATTCTTCATGGAAACTGGTCTTTGCTTTCCTTTCATTTTTGTTGTTTCTTGAACTGATTTTTTCAATAAATTAAACACTACTCTGTACATTGGTTTTTGTAGTCTTGCTGGTTTCTAGTTTACTGAATAATTTAAGGAGCACTGTTATTGTTGCCTCTCAAAGTCTAGTGGAACTGAGTAGTGAACCCTACAGTTTCAGCTGCTTTCATTGGAAAAGTCTCCAATGCTGCCTTTACCTTGTTCAGCATATATCTTTATTGGTTGTTTATACATTCTTGATTTAGGTATAACAGTTAATATTTGTTTAGAAATTTATGTAATTTACATTTTTTGAAATACGTATTCAAAGTATTTTTTCAAGATCTTCTGGATTACATTAGTATCAGAATAAATGGCCTGTTTTATAAATTATATTTTATTAATTTTGTTTTCCTTTCTCTTTTGTGGCTAATTTAGGTGAGGAGTGTACTTTTTCTATATTTTCAAAGAGTCAAATATTTTATCCACTATTTATTTGCACTTTTCTTTAATTTTCCTTTTAATTGATTTCTACTATTATTTTTATTACACTTCACAACTTAGTTTCAGTTTGGTTTTTATTATTTTTCATCTAAACAAACAAACAAAAAATCACAGAGACTCTTCCCATTTAAACTGCGTCATAGACCAAATTCTTATAACTAATGAAATTGAAACCACAACATATCAGAGATGTTTTCCAGAACAAAAGCCGTCATAAGAGGAAAGTTTACAGTTATGTGTGCTAAGTGGTGAACATCAAGGTCCTAGAAAATAAGACATTTAATGGATCTCACCCTATGGTTCTGAGTAGTTAGGTCCAAGATTATTCTGTTTTATTTATTCTATCAATATCAGAACATAGCATTTCCTCAACCCTGTTATTCATTCCTGATATTCTTTATTCTGCTAAAACTTGTCTGGGGTGGTATATTTCACTTTTGTTGTATTTGTTAAATTTTAATTTTTAACATATCTATTTTGGGGAGGAACTGCTCTCACATTATCCAGGCTCTCCTTGAATTTGCTGAATAGCCTGGGTTGTCCTTGAACTCTGTATTCTCCTGCCCCAGTTGCCCCAGCGATGAGATTACAATAGAATGCCAATTTGTGTAATTACTGTTATTTCTGTTTTGCGTTTCTGCCTTTGTTCAGAAATTGAATTCCAAGCCAGGCGTTGGTGGCGCATGCCTTTAATCCCAGCACTGGGGAGGCAGAGTCAGGCGGATCTCTGTAAGTTTGAGGCCAGCCTGGACTACAGATCGAGTTCTAGGACAGGCTACAAAACAATACAGAGAAACCCTGTCTCGAAAAAATACAAAAGAGAAATTGAATTGCATTGCTGACTCTCTCATAATATTTCCCCCTTTCTTGTTTTGATCATCAATTGACTCCTTTGCTCCTCTACTTGTTTGTCTGCTCTTTGAAATCTTTCGTCAGTTTTACAAGTACACTTCAGGGTTCCTTGTCCACCCTTCCAAACGCCTTAGTGTCTTTCAGTTTACTAATTATGGAAAATGATCTTCTGTGGGAGTCATATCCTCTTGATTTTCATGTTTCTTGTATTTCTGTGATTTTATTTAAAATTCTGCTGAGTTTAATGTATCTTTCATTTACAGATCTTTTAAGTGCGCAAACCCTTGAAGGGTTAATTCTCAGTGCCACTCAGAGAGGAAAAATTAAATGGCTGTAGTATGCAAAATATCCAACCAAGTCAACCCTTCCCTGGTATGTCTTCCTCAAAATTGCATGTCTTCCTCTTCTTCCTCCTTCATTTCCTCCTTCTTTCCTTTTTTAAATAACTCTCTGGATCCAATCAGCACTTGCTATATGCACAAGCCATTTATTGGGATGTGAGAAACCTATGGGTGGCCACACCCTCAAGGGAAAAAATCACTCTCAGTCTCCTCTCAGACCTCAGCTGTCAACAGCTCCTTAGCTAGGCATGAGCATCCATAAGTCCTTCCCTAGCGTGGGCTGCAGTTTTGCCTGGATGGATATCCGCTGTGTGCATTCACACACACTGTAGCAGGCCTGTCCAGAAGGCAGCATTTTCACGGCTCTCATCCCCGGTTCTTCAGCTCATGCGTTCTTGCTGACTCCCTCCCAAGACTTTCCTTGAGCACTTATAAGACTATGTGTTAGCTCACGTCCACCTACCAGGTATCTAATTTTCTTAAAGACTGTCTTTTCATGAAATTTCCTTTGTTGAATATAAGACTTTCAGTGTGATGCAACTGGATAGCTTTTTTAGGAACTTTTAAAATAAAAATAATCGTAAAATGCATCACACATATGCATAAGTCATAAATTGTCATTCTATAAATAGCCTTGGAAACTACAATACTGGTTGAGCAATGAAACATAGATAGCCACTCACGTGCCTTTCCTAGGCTATGATTAAATCACAGCTGTCTCCTTTCCAAATGCAGCTGTTCCACTGGATTTTACAGCAAAATCTTTACACATTCCTACATAATATTATCATCCATTATGCATACCTGAGAATTCTAGCCTATTCTTGCATAGTTGAAAAGATGTTATATGTCTTAAACACATTTTCTAATTTAATCTGATGCACAAACTTTGTAATTAACCTGTGTAGTTTCTAAAAGTGTATACAGTTTGCAACTGTACACAGTTTTGGCAGTTTAATCAAGTTATTCTCTTTGTATTTTCATGAATTACCAAGGAGAACCCAGAGGCTTGGCCAGACTTAGATCCATTGCTTAATCTAGAGTATATATGGTAGAGTTTTATTTTTGTAATGCTCTTATACTTTCGTCTATGTATTTGTTATATGTGTGTACATGCCTTTGTGTGCAAGTGTTTGTGTATATATTTATGTATATGCGTGTGGAGGTCAGAGAGCAACTCTCTAGTGGAGTTATTTCTCTGCTGCCTGCTTGTGGGATCCAGAGATGGGCCTCAGGTCACCAGGCTTCCAGGAAAACATCTTTACCCACAGAAGGAACATCTTAGCAGCCTTCATTTTTAGTTCATTAAAACTTTATTGTAAAGAACTTGTAACCAAGGAAACTTCACAGAGTGAAGTTAACCAGAACCAAACTCTATATAACTCAATGAACTCTGCACAATTAGAACAGTCATTCTGAAGCTGTGGCCCTTCATTCTGGATGTTATGCTTCACCATAAAATATATTTTATGTACTTATCTACTACTCACAACTGAAAAAAGTCTACGATGGAGCTAAAACCAGAAAAACAATAAGCTTTGCACCCTGTTTCTTTCACGACTCAAGTCAGTTACCTGAATTCAGACCTGTTTTTCGATGTTAACTAATATTGACCCTTACATGAAAAAATTGAAACAACATAGCTGTATTTTGGGATTGTCTTAGTTTACTTGGGTAAAATGCTATGGAAAACATCTATGAAACGAACAACAAACAACAAAGAATTTTTTTCTCACAGCTCTGGAGGGTGAAAAGTCAAAACCAAAGAGGGGGGATTCACTGTCTGGTGAGCCTCATGTTAAATCCTTTTCTTGTTTCTGAGACAGAACATCTAACAGAAATGATTTTAGGAATGAAGGGTTGAATTAAGCTCATGGTTCAAGAAGATACTTCTTGTAGTAGACAAGTTTCCAACTTGTAATAGATAAAACACACCCCCATACTTATCTGAGGTCTATATAAAATGACCAGACTGGCTGATGCTGTTATAGAAGCAAAGTTCTACAGTCTTCTGTTTACAAGATGGAGAACAAGAGATGCCACTGATGTCAGTTAGTACAAGCTTGAGTCCTGAGGACTCAAGAGACACGGGCTCTCGTGTAAGTCTCTAAATCTTACAGACCAACAACCAGAAACTTGGACATCAAGGATAGGAAATGTAGAGTTCTAGTGTGATTTTCTAAATGAAGGACAAGTAAACTAAGGTTATTTACTTGATGGTCCTAGGAAAAGATGGGCAATATACATAACAGGCAACAATAATGAAGTGTCCATCGGGTACATGGTCTTTCAATTAGCCAGTGGGTAGTAAGAGGCAGAGGGTTTGGCATGTGGACATATACTCTAGTTGAAGTTTAGGGGTGTATGTAGGCACATTTCCTGAGACTGGGTGACAACACTTGAGTCGGAAGGAGGAAATAATTACTCAAAAGGACTCAGGAATTACATTAGGAAGTTCACCAGGCTCAAAACTAACAGCACAAAGAGGTTGAGAACTTCAATGTGAGGGGAAATTAAAACAGGAACTGGGTGGAAACAGTCTCAAATGCCTGCCTTAAAGGACAAACTCAGGACAAGGACAGAAGGAAGAAACAGATCAGCATTATTATGATTAGAATTATAACAAGGCATGTTCGAGAAGAGAGGAAATGGGTAAAATAACACTTTCTTTACATCTTTCTCCTATCCAGACTTTATATGCATCAGATGATGTCCACCCACATCTGTGAGCCATGCCATGCTACCAGCTCAAATGTCAGTCTTCTGGAAACACCCTTACAGGCACACCCAGGAATAACATTTATGATCACTCTGTGCAGCTAATCCAAGTCATGTTGACTCATGAATTTGAATAATCATATTATGCAATTTCTAAAAACCAGAATGTTTGCTAAATTACTTGTCCTGAACTTTCTGGTAATTCTGGTCTAGGCTTAAGGTTCTAGCTTAGTGAGTGATGGAACTTGAACCAGTCTCCCCACCCTGAATCTTTTAGTCTAAAGCTTGGTTCACACCAGGCAGTGTTTTTTAGCATAGGCAATAGTCCTCAGTAATAATATTAACCTGCATTTTGACTGGCTGTCAAGTAATTTCCTATGAACCTCTTATAACACATGCAGCCACGAAAGATGACTTCAAGAATTATCCAGTCCTTGCATTTGGGCTCTGATTTCCTATAACTATTTTCTGCTGGTGTTATAACACAGAACGAAGAAACAATCCAGGAAATTTTAATTGCATGTTAATAATAGGTGCCTGGCCTGATGAATTTCAACATCTGCTTCAGAGTTTGTGTATTTGCAAGACAAGTTAGAACTGATACTGTGGGTTTGAACTGAGAATCAGCCTCACATTGTGAGAACGGTTGTATCACCTGTGAGGGTTCTCAGTCTGTACTCATCCTGTGCCTTTTTATTCAGCATTTATGGAAGTATTATAATTCCTGCATTGTGAAGAGGCTGGGATACTATGGGATTCAAAGCTCTCTGTTTGGGTCTGTTTTGTGTTAGTTTTTTATCTTATATTTATACACCCATACCTGACAACATTGAAGAAACTTGGAAAGTAATGGCCTTGGATGCAGCTGCTAAAACTTGTACACTTCTGGTAAGAATATTGTATTTTTTTCAATGACTTCGAATGAACACTTGTGAATACTTTGATAATAATATTGATGTAATTTTGAAAGAAATATTACTTTTTAAAAACTATTGCTAAATTGTAATTTCATTCTGTGTCTAAGAGGAAAATAGTCCCATGATTATCTCATAGTATAAAGACATGAATTATTGATAATAGTACTTGTTTGATATTAAGTCAGAACTTTTCTTATTTCCATAGCTTCTATTGTCTGTCTTCAGTTGTAAATTCCTGAACTTCTGGGGTTATCTTAGGATATGCAGAGTGGATATACTTGATGGCACTTTTGGCATTGTGATATATGCTTTAATTGCATATACAGATACCTCTACTCATTCTCTACTGTCTTCTAAATATATCCGTTTGTAGGACAGGACAAAGACATTCAGAAGAGTGCATACAGGGAGAAAGTGACACATTAGCTTGAGCTCGTTTCAAATCTGTGTTCTTTCATGGGCAAAATGGGTACCTTGCAAAAATGCCTTTTGATAGCTCTAATATCGAAGGCAGCAATATCAGCAGATGATCAGAAGAGACGGCAGTCCAGGGTGTAGGAGAAGGAGGCACAGTTCCAGGACACAGCCTTCTCTAGACGATGACCCCCGAGTCTTATGTCTTCCATCTAGCCTCACGGGACTCTCACTTTCCCCAACGTCGTCTCTTTTACAAATGCTCTGGTTCCTTGAGTGAAGTAAATAACAGATAAGCAAGCCTATACCAGCTCTACAGATAAACTCTGGGCTTTCTCCTTTAATTACCTCCTTTTAAGCCTGCAGGTGACCAATGCCCATGTTTTCATCAACATCACAGCATTATCAGAATACCCCCACTCAAAAAAGTTGCTGTTTCTTTGTCTGCTGCAAATGTTTCCAGTCACCACCTAACTGTAAAGAAAATACACACTTTATATTTCCTGCATTATGAATTTCTATCCTGTAATTCTAAAGGTATAATAGACATAATAAATGCACAATTAAAGTTTATCCTAGCAAGATTTAGAAATCCTTAGTGATTTTAGCACTGAATTCTGTGATTCAAGGTTGCAAAGTCAGTAACGGTTGTTGGTTTTTAACACATGAAGGTAAAAACTAAAGTTCTTCATGATATAGGCTTGAAAAATGTAAGTGTATTATTGTGCAGTCATAAGTTGTTTTGGAAGAGTTTTTTGAAATATCCACATATAACCTTGAGAAAGTTTCTAGAACATACATTATACCAATTAACCTAAAAGTGAGGAACTAATTGTAAATATTTGTCAGGATTGTTCTGTACTTTAAAAGACCAGGCATGAGCCAGGCGGTGGTGGCGCATGCCTTTAATCCCAGCACTCGGGAGGCAGAGGCAGGCAGATCTCTGTGAGTTCGAGGCTGGGCTGGACCGATAGCCTCCAAAACAATACAAACCCTGTCTCGAAAAAAAAAAAACCAGGCATGCTAGAAAAATGTGTGATAATATTTACATTGGAAGTTTTGTTATAGTGTTAAAATTGCTTGAGCATCAATTTACATACAGAAAATGTTGACATGGAAGAAATAAGATCACTGACAAAATTTTAATTTTAAAAAGCAAATTCACTGAATGAAAAAAATATGGGAATACACTGATTTCTCAAGCACTCATAGTAACAGGTTATCTATTTGATAATACTTGATTAGTAAGAAAATACTCAAAAATTATTTTAATTAGCCAATTAACCAATTAATTAGTGTGTGTGTGTGTGTTGGAGGGAATATGCATGCACATATCTAAGAGTCAGCAAGTGTACACGTCACAGGACATCATCTTAGAGTCAGCAAGTGTACATGTCACAGGACATCCACCATCTTAGAGTCAGCAAGTGTACACGCCACAGGACATCATCTTAGAGTCATGTGCATGTCACAGGACATCATCTAAGAATCAGCTCCCCTCTTTCCCCAGGTGGCTTTCTCAGGCGTTCATGATTGGAAGTAGGTACCTTTACCTACTAAGACATCTCACTGGCTTCTCCAGAATTATTAATGTAATGGATACTTAAATAATGTGGCAATATCTGTTGAATGTTAGCATGAACTGCTCTCTTCTATATAGACTAGCAATATTGATTCATCTAAACTCTAATATAGCTCAGTAAGAAATTTATTATTGGTATTATCATTGCCTGGATTAAAAAAAATAAAGTTCAGAGACTACATTGATCGATACTTTCCTTTTTTGTTTTTATTAAGATAATTTTTAAACTTAAACATATTTTGACAATATTCTTCCCCTCCACCAAGTCCTTCCACATCCTCTCCTCCTCAACACCCACACAACTTTAAGTTCTTTCTCAAGAAACAAACCCAATATCGTTGGAAGGCCAGTTCTTTTATGAAGGGAAACAGAGAAGTGGATTTGGGGGAGAGGAGACGTGAGGGTGACCTAGGAGGAGTGAAGGAAGGGGAATCTGTGGATGTGTTTTATGAGAGAAGAATAGATTAATAAATAAATACAAATAGAAATAAAATAAAACAAACCCCAAACCCAATACAATAAAACCTCCCAAAACTTCTGTTGAAAACAAAATACAGTAATACCCAAAGAGTAAAAAAACAAAAAACAAAAAGACAAAAGGAAAAGCCACCAAACAGTAACTGTATAAAAGCACACAAAGAGACTGTGGAGTCCATTATATGTTGGTCAACTTCTCCTGAATATGAGGCCCGTCCTGGAGTGAATAATATACTCACTGCATGTTATCCACTGGAGAAAACTGGTTTTCCTTCTCGCAGCAAGTATAAGTGATAGTTAAGTTGTTAACCTCTACTCTAAACAAGATAAACAAAAAACAAAAACAAAGACAAAAACTACCACAAAGAAGTGGCACAAGATAAATCAACAGAGGGGAAAAGAGCCCAAAGGAAGGCATGAGAGTCAGAGACACACCCGTTCACACACTCACGAATCGCATAAAAACACTAAGCTGGAAGCCATAAATGATCTAAACGCAGAGGACCTGGAGCAGACCCATGAGGTGGCCGTGTGCGCTTCTCCAGTCTCTGTGAGGTAGTAAGAGGTTTTCACGTGTTTGTGAGTGACTTGACATGTGTGGTTACAGTTTTCTGCATCCATCTCCCTCATCGGGATGTAGAGCATAGCTGTAACTGCCCTATGCTTTGTGCATGCAGTGTCAACCGATGGTTTAAAGGGTGTGGAGTTCCTAGGTAAGCTGGTTAACTAATCTCAGGAAAGTGCCTGCACTGAAATCAAGGAAAGGTTTTAGAGAAATAAACCAAGGGACCCTAAATGATTTAGAGTAAAAAAAAAAAAAACCAGCAGATTCAGATAATGGATAATGTGGCTATGTGATAATATTTAAAACTTGAATTAAATAAGATGACTTTAGATGGAAAATATGACAACATACGGAATTAGGAGGATTATAAGACTTAGAATTTTCAATAAGAATTCATAATTGAGAAAAATACAAAAAGTATTTAAAATATAAGTAAAGATATTTTTATGAGTGGTATTTAATAAGAACACCTGAGATTTTCAAAGGCAGAAGAGTCAGGCAATAAGAGGTTCACAATATCATTTGGGGACAATTTTATAAACTTTTTTTTATTTCTGTTTGGTTACTTTGTGTGTTTTTCAATTTCCTTTTTCTATACCTTCTCTTCATAAATATATGAAATTACAGATCTAATGTTGAATTATTTTACTTATTTTGTTTTGCTTTTATAGGCTCTGTGTCTTGAAAACATAGGTGTTATGAGATATGAAGAGTTTATTTCCATGATAATCAGTCTGGACTACACACAACCCCTTTCAGATAAATACGTCACAGTAACTGATACGGACTTTCTTGACATCCCTGTGCGTTTGTACTTACCAAGGAGGAAGTCGGAAGCCCCAAGACGCGCTGTGATCTATTTTCACGGCGGGGGTTTTTGTTTTGGAAGTTTCAGTAAGTTCGTCACAGAAGGATAAGAATAACTGCCTGCATGTTTGTAACGCACAAGTTTTGGTATATTTACATATACTTAGATGGGCATGCTTAATAGAGATTTACATATTAGATATCCAACGTAATGATGAGTATAGAAGTATGTGGCAAGTGACCTGATAGAGATTTTCACTGCCGGGTTTGCTCTGTACTGATCGACACTTACTTCCTTTTGTTTTTGAGATAGGAACTGATCTATTTCAGTCGGCTCCGGGACTCATCACTTAGCTGGAGAAAACGTTTTACTTCTTATCATCAACCTCTTGAGCACTTGGGATTGATTGTAGGCATGTTCCTCACACCTGGAGTTTGCAGTGCTGGGGTTCACACCGGGGGAGGGGAGCTCCTGAAACCTGGGATAGCATCCCGGCTAGTGAGCCCCAGACCAATCACCACAGACAGCGTTTTATTCTCGTTTTTCATGTGGGATAAACCACGTAAAAAGTGACACGGACAGGTCAATTGCTACGGAGCTTTCTCCTGGGGTTCAGGATACCTTCAGAGGCTGTAACCTTGACAGGACACGTATCAGAAATGCATGCTCTTGCTGTAAGAGGGAGTTTATAATTTGTTACAATAACATTAGAAATAGCATAACACAGAGGGAAGTTGTTCAACTTGGCACTAAGGGGAAAATACAAAACAGGCTTTAGAGTAACAAGTCCTATTCAGTGCTTTACTCCTTTAAACGGATACAAAGTAAAAATATCAAAAATAGCCTTTATAAGAACTTTGGAAAACTTTATAACTACTGTAACAATGTATGTGAAGCCATTCTAAGTACACTAGAAAAACAAGCAAAAGAATTGCAATTTCAAAGTAGTATGCAAACATTTTTATTAACCTCACATACTATCTGAATAACCAGGATTCCCCAATTAAAAAATAAAGATGATGAGTTTTTTTAATATGATAAAGAAAATTGAGTATACTCCCTTGCCCCTCAAGAATGGCAACAGAATTCAGTAGATTGAAAGCTGATGGTGTGTGTCAGTTCCTGCCTGGAAAATAATGCTCTGCACTCCAAATATTTTCTCCAGTTATTCGAGGTTTGTATACACATATATAAATATGTATGCATTCACATATACATATATGTATATAATATATGGTACGTAGAGACTCAAGATAAAATAAATGTGTCCTATTTGCGTATCTAAGCCTTATAACAACTTGCTAAAATATCTTTAAAAAACTCAGTTGCCATTCCTGAGAACAATGCTTCTCAGCCTCCCTAATGCTACAACCCTTTTTACACAGCTCCTCATGCTTTAGTGACGCCCTTAACCCTAAAATAATTTTGTTGCTAATTCATAACTATAATTTTGCTACTGTTGTGAATTATAAAGTAACTATCTGCTATGCAATCCTTGAGAAAGGGTCATTTAGCCACAAAGGGTTCATGACCCATAGGTTGAGAACCACTGCCTTAGACTTTGTATAAGTGTCCTAATTATTGAAACATCATATTGAAACATCTATTGAAAACAAAACAGAGGTTTTAAGGAATTGTATTGTCATCTTAGACAGCCAATTATCTCCCTACCTACCTACCTATCATCTACCTATCTTTCTACCTATCATCACTCATCTACCTACGTATCTACACACACACACACACACACACACACACACTCATGCACACTCATGCACACACGCACGAATGCATGCGCACATGCATATGCATTTAAAAATAGAGATCTACCCCATTCTTTCTTTGTGAATTCATGACCCAATTGAAAGACTGTGCTAAGAATTCACGTAGATGAAGGATACAATGGTCGTTTCTAATGGAGACATTGAGAGTTAATGTTTCGCTCTTGAGAGTAGAGTCTTGATTTATAGACCTAGGTGTAATGACCATAGGAAGACCAATTAATGCCTACTGTCTATAGCTTCCAGACTGAAGGAGAAGAGCATAGTGCAGGGCACCAGTCCACCGAGGGATATGAGAAGGGTCATTTTGTGACTGATAGAAGAGAGTAAGGGGAAACTAGAAGGCGCCAAGCCTAATTTCTTCTTTAAAATACCAATTTACAAGGCACCCCTTCATCCCTGGGGAGAGATTCGAGACTACTGCACTGGTTTGGAGCCCTATGCATGGAAACAGCATAAGAAACAAAGATTCCTGTCCAACAATCTGAAATCGCATTTCTCATAGAGATATGTCTCATTATTTGGTGCTACTTTTTAAATTATAAGGAGTGCTTTGACCTTTCTCTCTTCATTTTAGAACAGAGAGCCTTCGATTTCCTGAATAGATGCACTGCAAGTGAACTTGATGCCGTTGTTGTGGGAATGGAGTAAGAGTTAAATTTCTTTAACTAGTATGATTTTTTGCCATAACTGCCTCTAGATTCAATTTCTGCATAACACATTTATGCCTTGAAATAAATTTTTAAAGTTTACTATATATTATCTGTCACTATTGCTGAACAGACTACTCCTTAATGGAGTCCAGAATTGCAACTATTCTCCTTTAATTGTGGAAAACTTTGAATTATACCCTAAGATGAGCATTTTGTGAAGTCCCGTTGTTTAGATACTATATGGACAAGTTGTATCCCATATTACATAGATAGGAGGGAGCAAATTAAATAATTGCACACTTGAGATATTTGGTCATATTTAGGCTTGGAATAAAATGTTTAGTTTCAAAAACAGCTATTATTTAGAGAGTTACAGGCAATGAAGTTTGAGACCAGGTGAAATTTGGTGACTTTGTACTCTGTATTTGTTGCATGCATGCTGGAGTATCTTAGGGAGAGGCCATAATTTTCTTACTCATGTTAATATACTCTAGATTTCCGAATCTGCATTTGACTCTGAAATTCATCATTTTAAGTGGATTTTCTGCCATTTTCTCCTTAGTTCACAATAGCAAAACATAATCAGAATCCAATATTTTTAATGTTATATGATGATATTTCAAAGGAAGTAGTTGCTAACAGGTTTATTATTCTGATAGTACCCAGAAGAACTTCATATACCGATGACTAGATTATGATACTGGGACAGTATCCTTTTCATTAATTGAAATTTTGAAGCAATTGGAGCATTTTAAATTCATTTTCATGTAATGATAAGGGTTAATACCTGCCACACATTTCATCTAATCCTTATGATTTGCATTGTTCTAAATTTACTGTGTTTGACATAATAGATATAAACATCTGTTGGGTCTATAGATGTATCTACATTATCCTTTAGAGATTTCTAAGACAGTTTATAGTATATTCTTGGAACTGAAACATCAACCCTTAATATTAATATAGGTATTTATAAATTTTGACATTCTGAAGAACAAAAAGACAAGATGATGTCTTCATAGCCAGTTACATTAAGAACACAAGCCTGCAAGGGACTGACCTAGGCCTCTGCACATATGTTACAGTTGTGCAGCTTTGTCTTCTGTGGAACTCCTGACAGGGAGAGCAGGGGCTGCCTCTGACTCTTTAGCCAGTTTGTGGAGATCCTATTCATCATACCATGTTGCTTTGTCTAGCCTTCATAAGAGTGGAGGAGCTTAGCCGTACTACAACTTGATATGCCATGTTTTGTTGGTATCCATGGGAGGCCTGCCCATTCTGAATAGAATAGAAACAGAGGAGGAGTGGATGGGGGAGAGGTGCTGGGGGACATGGGACAGGGGGAAGGGAGGAAGGAGAAAGACAGAAAGGAAGAAAGAAAGAAAGGAAGGAAGGAAGGAAGGTAGGAAAAAAGAAAAAAGGAAGGAAGGAAGGAAAAAGAAAGGAAGGAAGGAAGGAAGGAAGGAAGGAAGGAAGGAAGGAAGGAAGGAAGGAAGGAAGGAAGGAAGGAAAGAAGGGCCGGGCACTGGTGGCGCACGCCTTTAATCCCAGCACTCGGGAGGCAGAGGCAAGCGGATCTCTGTGAGTTTGAAACCAGCCTGGTCTACAAGAGCTAGTTTCAGGACCCTGTCTTGAAAAACCAAAATAAAAAAAGAAAGAAAGAAAGAAAGAACATAAAGAAAGATACAGAATATCTCCAATATGAAATGCACTTGAAATAATTTTTTTTTTTACTTACAAACGCAAGAGGGTTTGTAACACATTTGCTGGTTTCAGGCATAATGCCATCCATTGACTTAGTTATGTGTTTTCAAATACCTTTATATTTGTTTCCACTTTAACTAAACATTAGAGGAAAACTCTGGGTCAGTTTGGGAAACCTGAACAGTAGGACTGGTTGTCGAATTGAATGTGTCAGATGTGTGAGACCCTGCTGCACATGCGTGCTCCCCAAGCTGTCCCGTTCTGCTTTAAAGCTACAGGCTAGCTCCTCAGCACCACTTTCCTGCACAGTTTGAAGATGGCGTCACAGCAGTCAAGTTTTTCCTTCAGGACAAAATTCTTACGAAATACGGAGTAGATCCTACCCGAATTGCTATCTCAGGAGACAGTTCCGGAGGCACGCTGGCAGCAGCGGTGACTCAGCAGGTGAGGCACTTTTGGCTCTGTGGTGGGGAGGAGAGGAGCAGATGCAGCTACTTGTTCTGCTGCTGGATCTGTCCATCTGGTATTGTTCCTTGAAATGGAGCACTCACTCCCATGGATTACATCGTGATTTATAATTTGAGTTGAGCGAAACACCAGCTAAACATAACAGAACCAATTTGGGTTACATTGATCTGCATGTCTATCTTCATGTGGTTATTACTTTTACTTCAGTCTTCCTTTTCTTTTGCAAAAGTTGGTTCTAGTACTGCATTTCTCAGGCATGGAAACATTATAGAGAATCTTTGTTTATCCTTGACAAAGAAAGGCATAACAGCGTTTTAATTGGGCTCCGGGCTGGTTACTGCCATGCTGATGTTGAAACTTCCTGCTAAAACACACTAGACAACTAAGTTTATGTCCTCTTTAAGAAACAAAACACTCATTGAGTCTAATTTGTCCTGCTCACATAGCCGTGGATGTGGGATTATCTCCTGGATCATGTTCAATTTACCAGTAGCTACACTCTTAGGGGAGCTGACACCCCTTCCCCCAGAAGCTATCAAATGTCAACAACTACTCCCCTGAGGGTGACACTTCACGCCCACTTCTTCCCGTGCAGTGATGTAGTCCGTTAGGGGCTGGTGCATGCTGCCACAAGCACCATGAGTCCACATGTACAACTGTCCTGCTGTGCCCAGACAGTTTCTGTATAGCCCTCTACTGTCTCTGGCCCTCACAACCCTCCTGCTTCTGAGCCTCAGGAGGAGCTAAGTGGTACAGACGTCCCACTTGAGGCTGAGCACCACACTTTCTTATCCTCTGCACCTCGGCCAGTTGTCAGAATAATTTCTACACATATAAGTACTTAAATTCCTCCACCACCTTCAAGGCTGTGTTATTTCTGTTAATAACATTTGATGAAACATGGCTTGTCTGTCTCTCTTCCCCTTGCCTTCTGTCATTGTATTCCCTTATTTTTCCTCTCAGCCCTTCTCGTGTGCCCAAGAAATACTTCAAAAAAATGACGCTTCAGTGGTTTGACAGTTGGTATTGATTAAGGGTATTGTAGGCGTTTTTTGACATAACCATACTTTACAACAGCATTCTGTGTAGGTTTTTCCCTCTCCTGTGTCATGGGTACATTTTGTCTTTTGGGATATTGGAAGCCTTTGCCTCACTGGACATCGTATTTTTCAGGTGCAGACTGACCCTGAAGTAAAGCATAAACTCAAGCTGCAAGCCCTACTGTACCCTGGTTTGCAGGTGATTGACACCTCTTTGCCGTCTCATCGAGATAACGAACATGGCATAGTCCTAACGAGGGACATAGCCATAAAGCTCGTGAGTCTGTTTTTCACCAAGGATGAGGCGCTTCCACAGGCGATGAGGAAAAACCAGCACATGCCTCTAGAGTCCAGACATCTGTTCAGGTTTGTTAACTGGAGTGCGCTTCTTCCTGACAAATTCAGAAAGGACCATGTGTACACCGAGCCTGTGCTGGGGAGATCGGCTTACTCACTGCCCGCGCTGATGGATCACCGAGCATTGCCCCTGTTAGCCGACGATGCCCGGTTACAGCATTTGCCGCGTACATACATTCTTACCTGCCAATATGATGTTCTGAGAGATGATGGAATTATGTATGTTACAAGACTTCAAAACGTCGGAGTTCAAGTTTTTCACGACCATGTTGAGGACGGAATCCATGGAGCCTTGTCATATATGACATCGCCATTTTTCTTACAACAAGGACTGAGGATAAAAGATATGTATATCAGTTGGCTGGACAAGAATTTATAACTACGGTTTCCCTCAATGAAGTTTAATTGTGAAGATATTTTAGTTGTGAAAAGAAACAATATAATCTGTGTTGTCTAAACTAGATTTGAATCAATTAAAAGTTACTATGTGTGCTTCAATGAATTATTAAGTTCCCTGTCTTCTGAAGTCTGTATTTATAAAATGTAAGGTAGTGTATTCCCCTTGGTTATAGGTTTAAAGAGAAATCTGGCACTAGGGAGATGTCCAGAGATCTACAAGGTTGACCCCAACTAACAATCTAAGCAATAGTCTGAGAGACTACCTTAAAAATTCGTCCCCTATAAAGTAATCGAGGACAACCTTACATGCTATCATAGAGCCTTTATCCAGTAGGCAATGAAAGCAGAAGAAAGCACCCACAGCTAAACACTGAGCTAAACTCCTGGATTCCAATTGCATAGAGGGAGAAGTGATGAGCAAAGGGGTCAAGACCAAGCTGGAGAAACCCACAGAAACAGCTGACCTGAACAAGGGGGAGCTCATGGACCCCAGACTGATGGCTGTGAACCCAGTATAGGACTGTTCCAGACCCCCTGAACATGGATGTCACTTAGGAGAACTGGGCAATCTATGGGTCCTCTGGTAGTGAGTCAGTATTTATCCCTAGCACACAAATGGAATTTTGGAGCCCACTCCACATAGAGGGATGCTCTCTCAGTCTATATACACAGGGGAGGGTCTAGGCCCTGCCCCAAATGGTGTGACAAACTTTGAAGATTCCCCATGGAAGGACTCACTCTCCCTGGGGACCAGAAAGGGGATGAAATAGAAATCGGTGGGGGGCAGAGGAGGAGGGGCGGGAGAGGGACCTGGGATTGACATGTAGAATAGGCTTGTTTCTAATTTAAATAAAAAAGGAAAATTAATTTACTATTATGATGCTGGTCCCCAAAGGAGCCATTTCTTCATTTGAGAACTATGCATTACTATCATTATATGTAAGTTCTTATATCAGATAGCTGTTATTTTTTATCAATTCACACATGCAGTTTGTCTTGGTAGTTTTACTATGTTAGTGTTGACTAGATATTAAACCATTAACATACGTGAAATTTTTTTCACTGAAAAAATGCTACATGGCATTTGAAGATAATCCAATTTTTCTTGTCCTTGCAAAATTTGATAGTGTTACAGATTTTTTGAGTCTGATAATTTCACAGAGATATGCTATTGTATTATATTTTGTTTGCTATTTCTTTCCCCAAGTACATGGTTTATATTTTTTTCAATATTCAAAATCCTGCTTTATTTTTTTCTTGAGGTATACCATTATGAGTGGTTTCTTTGTTACTGAAAATATATTTCTTCATACCATATTTTATGATTATGGTTTCTACTTTCCAGCTTCCTCCAAATTCTCCCCATCTCCCCACATTGCCCAATTCACACCCTTTCTTTCTCTGTCTCATTAGGGGATGAACAGTTTCATTTGGGAGGGGAGGTTGTTGGTTTGCTTGTTTTATTTTGATTTTAGTTTTAGTAACTATATTATTTCCCTTCTTTGGGTATTATCCTATGGAGAATTTAAATACAACTATTTTTGATAATTTTTGCATGGATTCATTTTCTTCTGTTTTGTTAAAAAAAAAACTGCTTCCTTCATTCCTGAGATTGAAGACCAACACACACCACTATATAATCAGGAAAGAAGTTTAGGCAAAGAGATCATTTACGAATCTTTTCCAAAAGGTCACTTGCTGTTCAAACATGTTGACTCATGCCTACAATCATAACTTGCGGGAGGCAGAGGCAGTAGGTTTACCATGTGGTCTAGGATATTCTGGTCTACAGAATAAGTCTCTGACTTAAAAATCAAAACAGCATAGATTATTTCTGCCATCTACCAAAATTACGACCCCGCTGTCTGAGACGGGCACCAACTCCATTTGGAGTCTTGAGTAACTCATAAGGATATTGTGTAACTTTCACTCTTCGGGAATTCTGCACTAGGCCTCTGTCATGTGAAAATACCTGGGTGCTTCACCATAGACAGTGGGGGAACTCCAACGACCCTCCGTATCTGCAACTCAGCTCTATACTTACCCTCAACCCAGTTCAGTCAGTCTGCCACCACTGAATATGAACTACTCATGATATAACCTGTGTCTAACATCCCATAATGCAGATGAGACAAGGCTAGAAAGCTTGAATGAGGTTTTAACTAAGGCTCATGAATAACCGAAGGGGTCCTCTGTACATGATCCTACGTCCTGGCTCATCTCTCTCTCTCTCTTGAAGTCTACTTTAAGGCTACTTTCTTCATGAACTCCCAGCCTTCCACATGCAGAATTCTGTCTTTTCATGGTGAAGAGAGGACAAAGGAGAGTGTTTAAAGTTTTCCCTTTACCTGGGAAACCAAAACTAATTTTATGCTGGGTTTACAACGTGTGGAATTGCATTAAGGGGTTGCAGCATTAGGAAGATTGAGAACCACTTCTCTAGTAGAAGGTCACACATTAATAAATATTGGAGCAGCCAAAAATATCCTGAGGAGGGAAATGAGACAAATTTGAATATGCAGGGAAGAGATAGTTCTGGGAAGAACTTGGGAGGGAGAGTGAATATGAATAAAACATGCTGCATAAAATTCTCATAGAACTACTAATAAAATTAGTTAAAATTTGCCAAGCCAGTCTTTACACTGAACTTCATTTGGTGACAAGAGATGGCCAGTTGGGACTCTGTCTTCCTCATTAGGAGACTTCATTAGGATTACCTTTATATATTTTAGAAAGTTTCCCATGTACTAGGTTCCCATATTATACATAAAATGTCCCTCAATTCCACAAGTCCCTTCCAGCATCCTCTCCTTCTCCACACCTGGTTCTCCTGTTTCCACTTCTCCAAGCCTCAGCAAATCCATAAAGTCTGTTCTGTTTCTCCTTCCCAGGGAGATCCACCCCCACCACCACATCCCCCGCTACCCCAGTCCTCTCTCTATGCCTAACCTCTTGGGTTCTATGAACCATGCCACAATTATCACAACAGCTAATATTCACAAATTAGTGAGTACATGTCATCTTTATCTTTCTAGGTCTGGACCACACCTTACTCAGGATGATGTTTTCTCTTCCCTCCATTAGTCTGCAAATTTAATGATGTCATCATTTAAAAAAAAAACTGAGTAAGACTCCATTGTGTAAATGCATCACATTTTGTTTATCTGTTCCTCTGTTGATAGACATCTAGTTTCTAGGTATTATGAATAGAGCAGCAGTAAATGTGATTGAGAAAGTGTCTTTGTGGTAGGATGAAATGTGCTTTTGGTGTATATACCCAAGAGTGAGCAAAACTGCATCTTGAGGTTGACTGATTCCCAGCTTTCTTAGTAACCATCATACTGATTTCCACAGTGGATGGGCAAGTTTTGACTCCTCTAGAGGGAGAGAAGTATTCCCCTTATTCTGCAACCTCCTTGCCAGCATGAAGTGTTATTTGTGTTACTGGTCTTAGACAATCAGACACGGGTAAGATGGAATCACAAAGTAGTCTTGATTTCAGTTTCTTCGATGGTTAAGGATGCTGGCTATATCTTTAAGTGTTCCTCAGACTTCTGAGTTTCCTTTACTGAGAATTACCTGTTTAAATATGTACCCATTTTTAATTGGATACTTTTTTGTTGGTTTTGTATTGGTGTCTGGTTATTTGAGTTCTTTATGTGTTTTGAATATTAGTTCTCTACCAGATGTGGAGTTGCTAAAAAATATTTTCCCATTATGTAGACTGATGCTTTGTCCAAATGATGGTGCCCTTTGCCTTATAGTAGCTTTTGGGATTCCTAAATGTGTGAATGAGTAGATCTCCCATCCTTGTGATTACTCTTGGTGTTTCTTTTTCTTCTCTTGGTTTGCCTTGTCTAACATCAATGTAAGTGTTTTTGTATTGTCATATATTTTATTTTGCTATGTTTTGCTGTTATCTCTTAGAAGCCTGCTCCTTTCTGATGAGAGACAGAAAGGGAGCAGATCTGGATGGGAGGGGAGGTAGAGAGGAACTGGGAGGAACAGAGGGAGGAGGAGAAATTATGATCAGGACATACTAAAAAATAATTAAAGAGAAAGATAGTTAAATGTTATTTCCCATTTCTTTTTTCAGTCATCTATGTATTTCTATAAAGTACACTATACTTGTTATGAATTCTTATGTATTTCGATAAATGCACACCTCAGGTAAGTGTCTGTACACCCCAGTTGCAAGATAGCTCCAGCAACTCAAGTACGTCCTTCCCTTTCCCTCTGGAAACCTCTTTGTCCCAATCTTAACAGCTGCAGGACAATTTCTCCACACATTTACCTTGTCTAGACTGTTGTATGTAGACTCACACAGCATAGCCGTTAGCTTTAAATTTTTCTACGTTCTCATGCTATGCATCTCTCGTAATATTATCTGTATCCCTTTTCTTTATGTTATAACTTCTCTACTCTCCAAGCCCTGCAAGCACTCTGATCTACCCTTTGAAATGTACTAGTCTTTTGCATTTGTTTGGGGGAATTTTTTTCCATTCTTATATTTTGTAGCAGAATGTTTCTGTGTTGCTGAGACTTTTCTTGAGCTATCTACCCGAATTGTTTTCACCTCTCAGCTTCCTCAGTGGTTGGGATTAAAGGCATGCATCGTAATATCTGCCTTAATTTGTGTAATTGTTTACATTGTATTATTTACTGATTTTTATATTTAAAAAAGTCTGAGACGTGTTCTTTGCATTTGGAGGTCATTGCTTTTTAGTGATTTGGGTCTGTGGTTTCCCTCTGCTCTGTGTGCTCTTATTGTCTACAAAGAGGTGTTGCTGCTTGTTCTTAGTTTTACTTGGAGTGAGGCACTCCACTTCTGTTATTTTCTTAGCTTTTGGAAGCAGGCAATGATTTGGGACATGTCCTCACTGTGGATCTGGAACTCCTCTTTAATTATTCTTATGCAACGTTCTTTCTTTCCTTGCATAGGTCACTGTCTGTTCTACTCTCTGAAGTTTCTTCTCAGCTTGGAACACTTCCCTGGACAATGATTCTATTGGTGAAGGAGGCTGTTCAGATGTAATCTCAGATAGCTTGTGCTCAGTACTGTTAGAAGGCAGAACGCTTGCCAGGTATAAGAGCTGTCGAAACTGTAGTTTCAAAGAATGCTTGTTCTTGAGTTTTACTCTGTCCAGTGTTTTTGTTGCTCCTGCCCCCTGCCTGCATAGAGAACTGTACACACAGATTTCATAGTTGTTGGAAGATTTACTTATGTTAGGTTTTTCATTCCTGTGACAAAATGCCTGAGATGAACAACTTAATGTTGGAAAGATTTGTTTTGACTAAGAGTTTCAGTTCAGTTATTTGACATCATAAAGTGGTAAACATTGAGAAAGAATATGCAATTGACAATGTCAAAGTGGACTTAATATCATAGGTGTAATGGAGATATACAACAATTTTACTGAAACTTTGGTAGGCTAACAGAAACGAGCTTTTTCGTAGTAGTTGTATAATACCACAGTCAGAATAATATTCTCTGGAAAGAGATTTTGATAAAAATGAAATTGATGGGGAACGTCCTTCTGTATATATGTTTGTCTTTTTGGTTGATGAATAAAGCACTGTTGGCCAACAGGGAAGCAAAATAGGTGGGACTAGGAGTCGAGAAGGATTCTGGGAAATGTAGTTTAGAGTAGAGAGCTGTCATGTGATCCTCAGAAGAGAGGATGCATGAGGCTGCATCCTTGGTAAGATAAAGCCTTATAAAAATATATATGAGCAATTATGGGTTAATAATTAAGACAGAACTAGCTAATGAGAAGCCGCGGACATTGGCCGACAGCATTGTAACTACTAGAGTCTCTGTGTTATTTGGAGTTGATGCAGCTCTGGGATCAGGCTGGCGGGAAGAATGCAGGGTACATGAAATGACTCCTTTCATTTTCCAGAATCCAAGTATTGCCAACCCCATCTCCAATACTTTGTTCAAAACATCTCTGGATAAATACTCAGTTGCATCATTTTGCAATTTTTTTACCTTTTCAAAACACTAACAAGACAAGCACCAATTAACATAGTTATTTGTCTCTATAAAAAAGGACCAGCTCTTTGTCGTTACCTAATATCCTATACTTCTTCCCTTCAGGAATGCATTTACATCCCTTATTGTGTTCGTGAGTGTGTAAGGGCTATCCAGGAAGACTGAAGCTTCCTCTGTTTCCTCCCTCCTTTATCACTCAGTTCTCATCAGAATTACCTCTAAGATTCTAGCCACAGCACGGCTATGTTCCTTGTGGCACCAATTTCAATGCCTATCAAGCCTTCAGTTACATTATTTTGTTTCAAATGTATTCCCACAATTTCATGTATCAACCTCTAATCTGAGCCTTTTGTGACTGTGTGATGATTCATTTTCTGTGCCCCAGATTGCTGGTAAAAGCATTATCTGTCGGTATATTTATTGTTTGTGTCTATCAGGGCATTTTTTTTGGAATTGTCTCCAGAAGAGAGTAGTAATGAAACCTTCACACTTGGTAAGGATAATCAAACTTTATAATGTGTGCTGGCATTTTTCAATTTTTTAAGCCTTGGCTATACCAGAGTAATAGTAATTCTCTTTCTGAGCTAAAGCACCTACTTTCTCCTGATTTGGATATAGAAGGCCTCAGGTTTTGAGAATGTCCTACTTTGGGGATCTCGTTAGCGTGACTTCTCCCCATTCTCAGGCCTTCAAGTGAAGATCAAAGATGAAAGTATTTTCCCTGGTACACAAACCTTTGAACCCAGGATGAACTGCACCAAGAATTTTCCTGTTTTACCAGCCTGTAGATGACAAAGTGTGGAATTTCTTGATAACCACATTAATGTAAGATGAGACAACTCCTATAATAAAGCTGTTTATTCTTCTTGAGAATTTCATACATGTATATCATGAACTGCGGTCACATAAAATCTACGTTTTCTCATCCAATGCCATCGACATGCTAACACTTCCCCATCTCAACTTCATTCATTCCGTGTGTGTGTGTGTGTGTGTGTGTGTGTGTGTGTGTGTGTGTGTGTGTGTGTGTTGGGTATTGCTCTAAGTCCAGTTCAAACTACCAGTATGTGAGTGGGTATGGATTCACCCAGTGGAGAACAGAAAACTTACTGGAGGCTACATCTTTAGTTAAGAATGATCCTCGGTATCCCATCAACTATCTACCACTAATAGCTCCTGAGTAAGGGTGGAGCTTCGAAATAGTTTACCTCCCTTATGCTTGGATTTTGTCTGGCTTGATCTTTTCTAAGCCTTATGTATGCAACCACAGCTGCTGTGAGATCATGCTTGGGATAGCAACATCGTATACAGAAGACAGCCTCACAGCCCTCCTCTCCATCCTCCACATGTAACATTCTTTGGGCCTTTTCATTCATGCTGTCTCCAGAGTCTTTGCGTGATGTGGGGATACGCATGTCCTGTTTAAGGGTTAGATCCGAGATTCTCTGACAATCATGGGTTTCTCCATTGACTGCTGTCTACCAGAAAGAAAATCCTGTCTGACCAAGGTAGAGAGAGGCCCAAGTCTATGGTTATAATCATAAATATGCAAAGGTCATTTGACAGCATAACCATTCAGAAAATAATGCGTTCTACTTTAAGATGTCTAACCATCCAAGCCACAGGCTTTTAACCAGGTTTAACAGTACCATATATGATATCCACTCCTATGGAGGCCTCAAATCTAACCAGAAATGGGTTTGTAACCCGTAAACGCAACTCACTGTCTTACCAGGAAGCTCTTCTTTCTTGGGAGATTGGTATTAGAAATATGTAATTATGTTCACTCCTTAAAACGCTGTCTGGTGGAGGCTGGAGAGATGACTCAGTGGTTAAGAGCACTGGCTGCAATTCCAGAGGACACGGGTTCAATTTCCAGCACCCACATGACAGCTCACAACAGTCTGAAACTCCTTCACAGACACACATGCAGGCAAAACACCAAGTAATTAACGAAAAGCCATCTGGTATATTCATCCTTCTGCTCCTGTGTTGGTAGGAAGACTAAGTGATGTGATGAAATTATTGAAAAAATTAAGTCAGCAGTTGGATTTTTGCACGGTCTATACTTGTTACCCAAACAGAATTTAATGAATCAACTCTAAGTCATTCACTACCCAAGAAAATGGGGCTTAGAACAGATAAGTGACTTTTCTGTGGGTTTACTGCTAGTGACTACAGACTTAGCAGCCTAACTAAGACATCGGGTTTCAAATTAGACTGTTAGACTGGAACTAAGAAGGTGGTGATTTGTCTCTAACTATCAACGCAGCCAAATATAAAACAGGTTTTGCAAGCAAACTGTACAGCCTGAAATCAAGTGAGCTGTGAACAGGGAAGGGAAAATGATGTCGTTGTAGCATAATCTCAAAATAAAAGAAGTGATATAAATAAAAAGAGAATCTCCTAAGCAGGGCAATTGAAAAGTCATTAAAAAAACAAACGCAAAAACAAAACAAAACCTGCTGAAATGACTCAGCACGGGCCACAGTGAGGCACAGAGGGAATGAAGAGAACGGCCTTTAAAAAGTACACCACGCTTTAAAGGTCCTGCTAGCCTTCCTGTTCACACTTGATCCACACACTGGGCTTCCTGTATGTTGCAATACCTTTTTCTTACCAAGAAGAGAGTCTAAAAGTAAAGCTTTTGTTATGATACATGACATTTTAAGCTGTCATGGAAACAGGATCTGGCTCCTTGATTGGAAGTAACTGAGATAGAGGCAGAGTGGTTCCGTCTTGAAAATCCTCTCTTTGTGTGTGAATTACAGGGACAATGGATTTTGGAGTTCTTTTCTCAGCAACAGATCGTGTGGTGGAATTTGTACTTAATACATTAGGTAACACATTCACGGCAGGTTAAAATTCAACCTCCAAAGATTTGAAGGCAGTTTCCTCTGTGGCACTGCCAACGTGGAGCAAGCAGGGAGAGAAACATGGGCAGAACATTTTTCCTTCTGGTTGCTGCGGTCCTTGTGGCTTATTATGTTTATGTCCCTCTCCCAGGGGATATTGAGGAGCCTTGGAAACTGATGCTGGAAACAACGCGACTGAAAGTAATGATGGGTCTGGTAAGTTCTGTGAGAACAGTAAGTTCTGAATCCTATTGGCCTGTCAATACTGAGTAATTAGATAGAGAGAAAGGAGGAGTTGGGGGGTTTCTTAGTATGCTTGGTCTCCAGGTCTAATCCCAGTACTGACAGCAGCAGGGGAGACGCTGGGGAGGAAGAAGAGGGAGCAAGGTGGAGGCCGTGTGTTTTGCAGTACTTCCAGGTGAGGTATCAACTTCGGGGAAGGAAGAACAGAATCGTATTCTGCACAGTTATAGACGTCTGTTCAGACCTCTTGGACACAGGCATGGAAACACATGCTTGCTGGCACAGCTCGTGAGGCCGACTGCTTGAAATAAAGATTATAAAAAAAAAGCAACACATGTGATTCCCAGTTGGAGCAAGGCATATTTGCTGTAGGAGAATGAGGTCGCCTGCTGGCTGCTTGTAGCTGCTCACAGCTAGCTCTTTCCTAGTGAGTGTCCCTGTGTGGAAATGAAATCATGCACGTGTCCCTTAGCCCTCTCTGTAGTCAGCATCTTTGTGGTGCAACAGATACGTGAGTCAATGCCACTCAGCCCCGGTATCAGACAGGCGACACACTGCTTAGTGAGGGTTCTGTTGCTAGGAAGAGACACTGTTATCGCGGCAACTCTAATAAAGGAAAGCGTTTGACTGGGGCTGCCTTTCTGTCCAGAGCTTTGGTCCGTCGTCACCATGGCAGGAAGGTCAGCTGCACACAAGTAGACACAGAGCTGGAGAACGAGCCTAGGGCTCCACATCTGGATGGTTAGCAATAATCTTACAACATCTCTCTGTCCAGACATTGAGTTCATTTGATTTGACGCCATTTTCCTTATGAATACCTGCACTGATTATTTATTGATACATGTCATTTTGCTTGAATGTTATGTGTAAATTTCTTGTATTGTTATCATTGTAATGCAATGGTTTCTCATGGACAGTTTTCAACCAGGTCTTGGGGAAGATAGTGAAATATTTTTATTCAGTTTTAATATTTAAGGAATTTTAATGCTAGAATGTCTATGTATACAAATATATGCCATACTTAAAATACAAAAAGATGTGCAGTCTCTTGGAATTCCGGGGCCAATAAAGAAAAGGGAGGTACTCCATGTCTGAGCATTTTGTTTGCTAATCTATAGATTCTGCCGTGAACAGGTACCATAACCACAGAAACTCCTATTAAAGAAAGCATTTAATTGGGGCTCACCTACAATTTCAGAGGCTCAGACATCGTCATGGTGGGAAGCACGGTGGCCTGTAGGCAGCCATGTTTCTGGAGAAGTAACTGAGAGTTTTCCATTCAGATCTTCAGGCATCAGGAAAACAGAAAAACTGGGACTGGCTTGGGCTTCTGAAACCTCAAAGCCCACTGGTGATATACTTCTTTCAGCAAGACCACACCTGCTCCAACAAATAATGCCACTCCCTGAGCACTCAAGCGCATGAGCCTATGGGAACCATTCTTATTCAGACCTCCTATGGAGTTTTCAAACATCATCAGAGTTATTCATTTGTCTCTTCATTCTTCAGCTTACTTACTGTTCCAAACTCCTTCCCAATTAAGTGTTTCCCAGTGTTTTCTCTCTTCCTGCTCCAGAGCACATGTGTTCTGCCACTAACCTTCTACTGTACCAACTGTTTACTCCTCCCCTCCCGTAATTGTCCATTCTACTTCTCTGACTTTTACAGTTACCCCAAGTTGCACACAAACCTAAAGATGCAGAGCTAGGGTCCACAAGTAAAGGAGCAGATGTCATGTTTGTCTTTTGGGCTTGGGTTATCTCACTCAGTGTAATATTTTCCAGTTATATCCATTTATTAGCAAGCTTCATTTTTTATTTTAAGATGAATAGAATCATGTTCTTGACAGAAGTCACATTTTCATTATCATTTCTCAAATGATGGGTATGGACACTGCTTTTATTCCCCAGTTATTATAATAATATAAATGAAAATAATAATAAAATACAGAAGCAAAAATCATGGATAAGAAAGTGTCTCTGTAGTAGGATACTGAGACATTTGTGGATATTATAAGAAACAATGTAGTAGATTTTATGGTAGATCCATTTGTAGCTTTTTGAGGAATTTCTATGCTAATTTCCATAGTGACTATACCAGTCTACACTCAAACCAACACTAAAGATTCCCCTGTCCTCATGTGCTTTCCAATACTAATGTCATTTTTTCCCTTGAGCTTAACTTCCCTGACTGGAACAAATGAAATTTCAAAATATTTTAATTTAAATTTCTCTGGTAGCTAAGGATATTAAACATGTTTAAAAATATTTATTAACTGTTCATATTTTTCTTTTGAGAATTGTTTATTTAGATATAAAACTCATTTTAGAAACTGTATTTTTATTGCCTCATTAAAAATTGTGTGTGTGTGTATGTATGTGTATGTGTGTGTGTGGTTTGTAGAAGACAGCTAATTCACTGAAGGAGAGAATAGCACCCTCAGAAGGAGGAAGTGAACCATGGTCCAAAGGACTCATGGTATTGATTTACATTTTGATCAGACTTTTGGCCAACTCTCTGGGAGAGATAGCTTATCTGTAGAGCAATTTTTTCTGTCCAGGTGATTGCCCAACCCATTTTGATTGATTCTTTGAAGAGTACACAGTATTTGCAATACCTCCTGCTAGCTAGTAATCTTCGTGTATGCATGTGCGTGTTTCCCTTATTTTCTTTCTATTTATTCTTCTCATAAAATACATCTCGACGGCAGTTTCCCCACACACCTCCCTTCTCCTTCAAATTCATTGCTCCTCTGTTTCCCTTTCTAGGGATGTCAACCAACCATGGCATATCATGATGCATTATGTATAGGCCCAAACCCTCTTATAAAGGGTGGGCAAGGCAACTAAGTTGGAGGAAAAGGGTCCTAAGAGTAGATAAAGGACTCAGCGATACCCCCACTCCCAATGTTAGGATTTCCACAAAAACCACAAGCTAAACAACCACAACATATATGCAGAGGACCTAGTGCACCCATGGAGGCTCCTTGACTGCTGCTTCAGTATCTGAGCTGTTCAACTAGCCCTGCTTACGTGATTCAGTTGGCTGTGTTTTCCTCCCTTCCCTCCATCCTCCTATCCCTCGTTTCTTTCATTGTCTCTGTCTTGCTCCTTTTATGCTGCTTTTGAAAAAAATCAGTTATTAAATATCCTTTTCTTAAGTCAGCCTAAATGAAATGTAGTCATTTAAGAATTAACTATAAAACCTGGCATTGAAAGAGTAACTTCATTTTAATACTAAGCCAGTATTTAACGATTCGAGGCTGTCAAAATGATCATAGTATCCAGTCATAGAGGAAGGGTCCAATCATAAAGGGTCAAGGAATAAATAAAACAAGAAATTAAAGACCTCTTGAAAGTCAAAGAGAATATAGATACAACATACACAAACTTATGGGACATTTTGAAAGCAGTGCTAAGAGGAAAGTTCATAGCACTAAGTGCCTACATAAAGAAACTGGAGAATAGTCACTCTAGAGAATTAAAAGCACAACTGAAAGCTCTAGCAAATAAAGAAGCAAACTCAACCCAGGGGAGTAGACTCCAGAAAACAATACAATTGAGGGCTGGTATCAATTAAGTAGAAACCAGGAAAACAATACAAAGAATCACGGAAACTAAGAGTTGGTTCATCGAGAAAATCAACAAGATAGACAACCTTTATCAAAACTAACAAAAAGGCAGAGAAAGAGTGTGCTAATTAACAAAATCAGAAATGAAAAGGGAGACATAACAATGGACACTGAGGAAATCCAGATAATTATCAGGTCATACTTTGAAAACCTGTACTCCACAAAATTTGAAAATCTAAAGGAAATGGACAATTTTCTGGGTATATTTCAGTTACTAAAATTAAACCAAGAACAGATAAGCAATTAAAATAGACCTATAACCCCTAATGAAATAGAAGCAGTCATCAAAAGTCTCCCAACCAAAAAAAATCCCAGGCCCAGATGGTTTCAGTGCAGAATTCTACCAGAAATTCAAAGAAGAGCTAATACCAATTCTCCTCAAATTGTTCCACATAATAGAAGCAGAAGAGACATTGCCAAATTCTTTTTACAAGGCTACAATTATCTTGGTACCCAAGCCACACAAATACACAAGTAATAAAGGGAGCTACAGACCAGTATCCCTCATGAACACTGATGCAAAAATACTCAACAAAATACTGGAAAATCAAATCCAAGAACACATCAGAAAAATCATCAAGTAGGTTTTATCCCAGGGATGCAGGGATGATTCAACATAGGAAAATCTATCAATGCAAATCATTATATAAACAAACTGAAAAAGAAACACCACATGATCATCTAACTAGATGCTGAAAAACCCTTTGACAATATCCAACACCCCTTCATGATAAAGGTCTTGGAGAAATCACGAATAACAGGAACATACCTAAACATAATAAAAGCAATATACAGCAAGTAAACAGCCAACATTAAACTAAATGGAGAGAAACTCAACATGATTCCTTTAAAATCAGGAACAAGGCAAGGCTGTCCACTCTCTCAATATCTTTTCAATATTGTACTTGAAGTTCTAGCTAGAGCAATAAGATAACCAAAGGAAATCATGGGGGATACCAATTGGAAAGGAAGAAGTCAAGTTTTCACTATTTGCAGGTAATATAATAGTTTACATAAGTGACCCAAAAAGCTCTACCAGGGAACTCCTACAGCTGATAAACAACTTGAGCAAAGTGGCAGGATACAAAATTAACTAAAAAAATTCAGTAGCCCACTATATACAGACAATAATCGGGCTGATCAAGAAATCAGAGAAACATCCCCCTTTACAATAGCCATGAAGCACATAAAATATCTTGGGGTAACACTAACCAAACAAGTGAAAAGCCTGTATGTTGAGAACTTTGAGTCTTCAAAGAAAGAAATTAAAGAAGATGCCAGAAAATGGAAAGATCTCCCATGCTCTTGAATAATTAGGATCAACATAGTAAAAATGGCAATCTTGCCAAAAGCAATCTACAGATTCAATGCAATCACCATCAAAATCCCAACACAATTCTTCACAGACATTCAAAGAACAATACTCAACTTTGTATGGAAAAACAAAAAAAACCAGGAAAGTCAAGTCAACCCTGTACAATAAAGGAGCTTCTGGAGGCATCACCATTGCTGACTTCAAGCTCTATTATAGAGCCATAGTCCTGAAAACAGCTTGGTATTGGCCCACACATATACAGGTAGACCACTGGAATCGAATTGAAAACCCTGATATTAACCCACATACCTGTGAACACCTGATGTTTGACAAAGAAGCTAAAGTTATACAATGAATAAAAGAAAATATCTTCAACAAATGGTGCTGGCATAACTGGATGCAGACATGTAGAAGACTTCAGATAGAACCATACCCACACCTCCCGGAATCCTGTTGAGGAGAGGTGGGAGGGATGAGCAAAAGAGCCAGAACTGTGCTGGAGAAACCCACAGAAACAGTTGACCTGACCTAGCGAGAGTACTGAGACCCTCATCGTAAAACTGGGGAACCAGCATTGGCCCGAACCAAGCACTCTGAATGTGGGTGCCAGCTTGGAGGCCAGAGCAGTCTATGAGAACTCTAACAGTTGAGCCAGTGTTTATCCCTAGAGCACAAATGTATTTTGGGAGTCCATTCCCTATGGAGGGATACTATTGCAGCCCAGATACAGGAAGGAGGGCCTGGGCTCTCCCCCAAACAATGTGATAGACTTTGATGATCTCCCGTGGAGGGCCTCACTATCCCTGGGGAGTGGTGGGTGGGGTAGGTTGAGGGGCTGGTGTGGAGCATGGAAGGATGGGAGAATGAGGGAATGGGTGAATTGATATGTGAGTAAGAGTGCTTCTAAAATAAAAAAAAATATTAAAATCAAAAGTAAATAAAAATTAGAATATTGTTATTAAAAATAAAGCATTCTTGAAATATATAAGTTAGATTAATTCAACAGCATTTATAATCAAGTATATTCAATAGTTGTTCCTTCCTTAGCCACTGAACAACTGAAAAACACAATAGCATACAGTATCCAGACTATCTGTATAAAAACTGGTTACTTGGGAAAAGAGTTTTCCTTTATATTTCTACAGAAAATGGAAAGCTGTGGATTCCTCCCAGGCTTCTGTGGTTTAATGAACCAAGACCCCCGAAAGCAGTGGCCCAAGTGATTCAACATCTAAAACAGCTAAGATGATGGAGATTTACAGACCCCGAAAATAAGGACTTCTAAGTTTTGTCATGATCCCCATGGTATGAACAGCACAAAGCAGTTTGGAATGAGTGACGTCCAAATTACCATATTGTTTATAAATCTTTGTTGTCATTTGAATAGAGTTGCTTATGCTTGTTTAATGATCACAACCAATCTCTTTTTGAAGGTAAAAGGGGAATTATGGTATGGAAATGAATACTTGATATGGGTATGGTTTTTCATTTATTGATACAAATTCAAGGTCAATTTTGTGATGTGTATATTTCTCGTCTTGATTAAGTATTGTGCTTATACTGATCTTATAAAACATAATGCATAATTAAATACAGACTATAGATAGTTATTTATGTTAGTCAAAATTTATAGTTAGGTAAGTTAGGTTTTCTAGATATACAGAGATATATTTGAGATAGATAGATAGTCTTCAGACCTTTCAAAGACCTTCAGAAAATGGCATTTAAAATAGTTTAGGGTTTTTCTTGACAATGAGAAATGTCTGCTCCTGGCAGCACCAATTATGTCTGAGAGGAAGATGGGCATCAAAGAAACTCATTATGGAGTTTGCTTTCAACATGGCAAGATTAGCCATTTGGGCAAGAAACTGCTCTTGTCTGCACTGCTTGACTGTTGTTGTATAAACTGGACATGCAGGACCCACAGGAAAGTGACTGCTGAACTCAAACAGTCCTTCAGGGTTCCTGCTTCATGGAAGAATCTACGAGACTTTCTGCAGGACACAGAAAAATGACTGACAGCCTGCCAATGCAGATGGACAGTTTGAAATTTCCTGCTTTGCAGAGAAGTCTTCCAGATACACTGTGGCCTATGGGCTGAAGATGGATGCCCCAACGTTACAGTAGAACTTCAGGTGACTGTCCAGGTAGCAAGATGTCTCTGTCAATTCTAGTGCTTATATATTATCCTTCTGTGGTCTTTGATGGAGTTGAAGACAAATACTTATCACATAGTTTTCCTTAGTTATGATAAAAGATAAGCTATATGTAAGACTTTAGACTCACAAAGATAGGATAGATGATACTTTCTTTAAATCTTACTAAATGTTAATGGACAAAATATTGTAACTATAGTTCTTACTTGATAACTGTTCTGTTATATGTAATTTAACAATGTTAAAGTTAAAACCTTTCTTCTTATTTAAACAGAAAAGAAGAGATGATGGGAGATGTCATTCTGTAAATCTGTCTCTCTTATTGGTTGTTGAATAAAGCACTGTTGGCCAATAGGAAAGTAAGTTAGGTGGGACTAGATGTCGAGGAGGACTCTGGGAAAGAGAGACAGAGACACAATGTAGACCACCAGAGGAGTAAGAAGTCCGGACCCATTTCTCCAGTAAGAGAAATACTTAGATTAACAATTATGGGTTAAATACTTAAGTCAGAGCTATCAAGTAAGAAACCAAGCAAATGGCCATCAGCTTCATGAGTAAAAAAAAAAAAGTAAAGCATTCTAGCTAACATGTAATTCTCTATGTGAAAAATATAAAAATAATGTATGCCATTATTTTGATGTCAAAATTGCAAAAAAAAAGCATAAGGTGTTTTAGATCAAAATGGCACAGATGGACATGCAAATCAATGGAAGACTCAAATGTGAATTCATATTAATAAAGACATTCAATATCTGACAAAGATGTCAAAACACACACTGGAGGAAATATAGCATTGTCAGCAAATTATACTGCGGCAACTGCATTTGAACCTGTAGAAGAAAGATTTATCTATCACAGTATACAAAAACCAACTCCAAATGAATACCTCAGTGTGAAACATGAAACCCTAACAAGGTTAGAAGAAAATGTTGTCAGTACCCTACATGATGTCTGTGTAGGGAAGGACTTTCTACGTGGTACACCTTTTACCCAGAAATTAAGGTCAACAATTGAAAAAATGGGACCTCGAAAGATTAAAAACCTTCTGAATAGAAAAGAAAACTCTCAGTTGACTGAAAAGGAAGCCCTTCCTTTTATATATTTGATAGAAGGTTAATATCAGGAATATGAAAGAACTTAAAAACAAAGATTCAAAGAAACAAAAGATAAAATCAAAATTAATTAAAAATTAGGGCCTGGAGCAATGACTGAGGAGTTAGGAGCACTGGTCACTTTTCCAGAAGACCTGGGTTCAATTCCCAGCACCCACATGGCGGCTCACAACTGTCTGTAACTCCAGTTACAGGAGACCTGGCACCCTCATACAGACATAAATGCATGCAAAACACTAATGCACATAAATAAAAACATTAAAAGAAGTACAGATTAGTAAAATACACAAATTAACTAACTCTGGGGATGCTCAACACCAACTGACAAATATACAATGCAACCCTTTAGCTAAGACTCAGAGAACCTCACACACAGGGGCCATACCGAATGTAGGGGTCAGAGGACCAGGATGTCTGAGGTGATGCAGGGAAATTGCAAAATTGGTAGGAAATCTCAAAAATTGGTGAGCTATGTCAGACAAGCACACTGGCAATTCCAGTTCACATTCAAATGTGGGCACCCAGAATTTCACAAGACCCTGTCCATAGCTGAAGAGTTACAAGGAATTAAGGCCAATGAGAAGGGGAGAATCAGTTTTCTCTGATAGGTTATCCAATCACCAGCAATGAGCCCCAAAAAAATTCCTAGAAACAACACTAAAGGGACTCAGCAGGATGCATTTACACACACACACACACACACACACACACACACACACACACCTTTAATCATTTTTCTCTTCTTCATTTAGATTTCTTTTGCTGAATTTTTGGGAATCAATCACTCCATGGACACAATACAGTTACTTATGAGATTTCAAGAAGTCCCAGCCACTTCTGATGAAAATGTCACTGTGACAGACACAACTTTCAACAGCGTTCCTGTTCGCATATATGTGCCCAAAAGAAAGACAGAGTCGCTCAGGAGGGGCCTGTTTTTCATTCATGGCGGAGGCTGGTGTTTGGGGAGTGCTGGTATGTCCCTGCCACTGTGCATTCTTGTTTCTCTCATAAAATGTAATACTCGCTCCAACTTGAAAACTCACGTGTGTTAGTAATCCTGGTATAACAAGATAGAGACATGTGAGGACTAATGAGGCTTCAGTTGTTTGAAATGTGTCCCTTTCTCAAAGGGGGATTGGTTACCACTAAGAACCGTAGGAAAATGTCAGGTAAGACTACAGTGTTTTCTTATTGTAGAACTGATGGAACACTGCAGTGAGAACCAAAGTCAGGTGGGCTGAACAGGGAGTGAAATAGCATCAAATAGAGATAACAGGGAGTGAAATAGCCTCAAATAGAGATGGTGACTGTGGCCTCTTATGATGCAGGAAATGAGAACAAAGATGTCAGATGTGCAAAGCGCTGAGCTGGACATGCTGTTTTTATTTGATATTACATGTTTCGCTTGTCACATGCAGCTTGTATAGTGTAATATTTTACTGCATGTAGTTGCAATTGTTGCAATTTTGCTTTATTGAATGTAAATGTATAAAATACCAACAGTGTAGCCAATATATCTGTGGCAATACCTTGCTTGTAAAAATAACGCTTGTCTGAACATCAGAGGATGGAGTTTGCCACTAGCCAACCATAGCAGTCTGGAGGTCTGTACAGACAGACAGGAAGTGAGAAGTTTGGACATCCTCTCCCTGTCCAGCTATCTCACTTCCTGTCTCTGCCAGCCACCTCACTTCCTGTTTGTCTGTACAGACCTCCAGACCTCTATGGTTAGCTAGTGACAAGCTCCATGCTCTGAACTTCAGGTAAGCTTTATTTTTATAAGCAAGGTATCACCACATATATCTTATATATTTTATAATATATGTATTTCATAATAACAGGAGGAGCCCATGACAGCTTTATGTTGATTTTAAGACAGTGAGATATTTGTTCAGAAATTTGAGTTGTCAGGCTTGAGGAAGGGATTAAGTTCATTTGGTCTTGAGACAATGGGGTGGTAATTGTGGGGGTTCTCCTTCCTCGGGGGTCATCAGCCACTGGTCCATAGGGTGGAGAGAGCAGAAATGTAGACTAGGGTTCAGACAGCTGTGGATATGATGTCGACAGACCTCCGGGATATGACTTCAGTGAGACAACTCAACTTTATTTCATAGCATATAGAATACATAGGTTTGGATATTACAGCTGGGGAATCACACAGATTGCATTAGACAGCATGCTCCTATGATAAAGATGGATTAGTGGAAGTATGGACCTATGAAAACATATGGTCAGCAAGGGGAGAGTGTTTGCAGAGAACTCCTTGAAGACAGTCAAGTCAGGCATCCTGGCCTAAAGACATCTTCCAAATAAGGGCAGGAAGCCTTTCTGGAGAGGGAGCTTGAAGAAAGCTGCCAGGCCATGGTAAGACTACAGTCTCTGACCAGAAGGCTCTTCCAACACCTCCTCCCCCTGTTTAATTTTATAATGTGAAAGTGTCATAGTAAGTCCCGAGGAAACCACCTTCCGTGACAGAAGGGCCCAGGGCCTGGTAGTGAACCATGCCCTATTTTTTAATGGTCATTTTAGCAATGGTGGTGATCTGCCATTGGAAGAACAGATTAAGGCAGGGGGCAAGCATCAAAATAAGACATAGCATAATTAGAGAACTGATACAAGCTAGGATCCAGGAAAACAAAGCTAAGTTGCTCTATGGGTTGGGGTTTTGGGAGCAGGAGTTTAGAGTCTTTTTTGGGGGGCGTGGTATTGACATGTTTCAACCACATTAGATTCATCCACATAGAGACAGCATTCTTCCCCCAATATCAAGCAAGTCCTCCCACGTTCAGCAGTTACTGGACCCAGTGTTCTTCTGTTTTAGAGCATGACCCCAGCAAGAGAGTTCCTTCGTCACTGGAGGGATTCAAGGCTGTCGGTCATGGACGTCACTGCCTGATGGAGTCTGTCTCTGGAGTCTCCAGTCAGGTGACGCTCTGGACAATGGCCACTGCTGCAGTCCAGGCAGACCCAAAGGAGATGACAAGTCCTATTCCCACCAGGATACCGAACATATTTAGGATAGCCCAATGTTTGGATTATATGTTAGAGTTGTAGATGCTTGTGGGGTATTTTTTTTATTGTTCTTAAGTTGAGCCTTTAGAGTTTGACGAGTTTTTTCTGTAATCCCTTTGCCTCGGGCATTGCAAGACTCCTTGTGTGGTGGGCAGTCTCCCATTGTGAGCAGGACTTGAATTGGGAGCTGGTAAAGGTGGGGACACTTTTTTTCTTTTTTTAATTTAGGACCGCATATGTGAACCATACCCTGTAATGGGTAGGGACTGAGGGACACTGGAGAACCTGGCAGCCAAGTGCAGCTCTGATATATTAAATATCTTTATCTCATGTTTATATACATGTTAGGGACAGAAAGTAAAGCTAAAACTTAGCTTAAATTTTTAAGTACTGACCACGATGGGATTTGGTCGGATCTACTGTCCACTGTATGGCCTTGTGACTGATCTCATTGGGGCTTATATGGACAAAAGCATATGTCACCAACCCTTTGCTTTGCTGTTATCTTTTTAAAAACTGTAATTCCCAGAATCCCATAAAGTTGCTTGGTCTCTGGGCAGGTGCTATCATTTAAAAACTACAACTCCCAGAATTCCAGGAAGTTGCCCTGTCTTTGGGCAGGTGGGGCTTATAAATTACTTCAGGTCTAACATTCCTTCCTGAAGTTGTATGTTGGGGCAAATCTTTGACTCTATGATGGAAACTGGTTAATTTCAAAATATAATAACCATCAGGTTAATGGTACCAAGACAGGAACTATCATTTAGTGTTTATATTAATGATGTAAAAACCAATAGCAATTAAGAAAAAACAGAATAGCCAAAGGCCTTGGATGGTCAATATCTCTTTTCTTCTGCATAAACCAGGCCAGGTTTTCTATTATATTATAGAACCATTTTAATTATTGAATTACCTGTTGATAAATCTGAGCTCCTTTTTTTGAATACCAACTCTTATTATAGGTAATCATCTTGTCCCCCATGTCAGGGAGTTTTCTTTTGACTTGGCTTTTATTTAGCAACTGTTATGGGGACAGGGACAATGTGTTGTCTTCTGTAGCTGCTTCCAGCTGAACTGCAGCAGAGGTTGTCATGGTCCAGAAAGGTTGAGAGGTTAGTCAACGGCTGGGCCTTGGGGCCCTTATCAGAAGATTCTGATTAGCTGCCCCAGGGAGAAGGGACAGGGAGGAATCATATCAGCTGGACTGATTCATATCAGCCTTCAGCAAGTCCAGAGCCCAGCAGCTTAAAGTCCGGGTACAGTCATATGTACTTTCAACGCCTAAAAATCTGATACACGAAAGGGAAAGACATGGATCATGAGTAGAACAACAGTGGTTTAGACTAGGTAGTGTGAAGCTACGTGTGAAGCTAAGAGACTGTGTGTATGTGAAAACGGCCCAGGATCCATTTTCTACATTGTTGGCGAAGTGCTGCGAACAGCAGAACCGGCCATGGGCTGTCTCGGTAAGGAGCGATGGCGCCACCGTTGCGCCCTTGCCAAAGCGCTTCTCCGGCAGTTCACCGTCCAGTCTCTCACCCTGTCTGTCTTCTCCATTTCAGCTCTTTTGATATACGACCTTCTGGCAAGACAGGCCGCTGAGAGACTCGATGCTGTTGTCGTGTCCACCAAGTAAGGCTATGGTTTGCTCCTTTAGTGTTTGGTCGTGTGATTTGTGTAGCAAGAAGCCAACACTCGTGGCCATTGTGCTGGTCTTGTCTTTGGGGTGGTTGCTGTGATACTTCAGCTGAAATGAAGAGCACGGGAAAAGGGAAAGTGAACTTGAATTGGCAAGAATGGAATCAGAGACTTAAAGAAGAGCGAAGCAAAACACTTACATAAGCCAGGACCTAAAATAGAAAGTTCAGAAAGCATTAGAACACAGCAACACTTGTTGGAATACATGGGCCAGTTACCTACATGGAAATTATAGCTTTGCTTCTATCAGCAGAATGAGTAACAGGCAAATAAGGTTGGAAATTTTGCCTTGAGACTTTGTCCATGTCTTGTTTTATTAATGAGTCTACTTCATCCAGATGTGAACTGAGAATCCTGTATTTTCTACACAATATAATCTTTCTGAGCATTGCATGATAAACTGCACTTAAGGCACTCACTTTACCGTATGTCATGGCATAATCATCACTGAAAGCAATTTCTTCAAAAGCTACACATGCAAGCAGGCAAATAGCACATTAAGAAATTGATTCCATTAGGAATGAAGAGAAAAATTAAGTAATTAATAAAACATGGTGGTCACATACTGCTTTGATATTAGGTGAGGTTCAAATATGAAGTTAATAAGATTTGTTTGTCATTGATGAATTCCCAATAAAGTATGAGAATAGTAAAAAAGAAAATGCTGGGAAATGTATTAGGGAAATGTATTACCTGCTATGTTTTTCATTCCTTTATTTTTTGCCTCAAGGCAAATTCAATTGTTTTACTAGTATAATAATGAAATCAGACAAGGTTTGGGGATAGAATATATCTGTGGGTATATAGCTAGCAATAATACTAGAAGGAAAATTGTACTCTCAGTTTAGAAAGACACCATACAAAATTAAATTTCATTCATTTGAAACGTTCTTTTTCACACAGCTATGGCTTAGCCCCCAAATATCATTTCCCACGTCAATTTGAAGATGTGTATGGTGCCTTACAATGGTTTCTAAAGGAAGACATTCTTGAAAGATATGGTGTAGACCCTCGAAGAGTTGGTGTGTCTGGGGACAGTGCTGGTGGGAACTTAGCTGCAGCTGTGACCCAACAGGTTTGTTTGATATCGTAAAACACCCTATGCATGATTTATTTGCCTCAGACATTTGAGAGATCAATGAAACCATGTTATTTTATCACCACGTTAAAATATAGAGAAACACCTTGACCAATGTTGGGAAACATGGTCTATTTAGTGTTTCTAAGCTTGCTCGATGTCAACATTTTTTTTTACATACTAGGACATTATACATTTTCTAGACTGTTAATTCAATGTGATTATTATGGTCAGTTAGGTATTATCCTGTACTGTTATATTAGGGATTGGACTAGTAAAACTGATCAATGACACTAATCACCATAACTGAGAACGTGGTAACTGTACTACTGACAATTAGTGAATACCAAAACTGATGTCATGTCTCTTGGTATCAGAATAATGAAATTTTCCAAAGGAAAAAAGATGTTATCACAGAGAACTATGAAAGTAGTTAGTAGGTTTATAGTTACTTTTTCTTGGCAAAGGATTGATAGTTTTCAGATGTGAGTTGTTCATAAAATTTCAGGATGTTTAGCTACCTCGGGTACATTCCGTTTGCCACACACTGCTACATTTAAGGTAACATTTTCATTTCCAGAGGAAATGTACCATGTATTCGTGAGTTTGAATTCTACACTATGTGTGCCACGTTGCTCTGGAAGGCAGCATTGTACAACAGGAGGCATGTATCAAGAGGACAGCCTTTTTGGAGCTGAAGTCGAATCTGACTGTGGACTTACCCATCTATCCTAATCTCTTTAAGATCACATTTGCTTTTCCCTGTTACAGTATAAATTACAGCCTCTGTAGTTTTGAACACTTCTGACTCCTATTAATTTAACATCCATTTAAAATATCAGTTAATAGTCTGCAGACCAACTCAGACAAAAAGAACCAGAACATTTCTAGAACCTAAAACATTTTCAAGATTAAAGAAGCTCCCCACAGTAAACCCTTACATCACTTAACGGGACACTTTTACCCGAGAGGAGTGTTGGTAACCTCTCAGGGCTGTGGCTATGAGGCAATATGGAACAGCCTCTCTTCATTCATTCTCCTAGATAGGACATTCGTAAAACCACCCCCTCTCTCTAATGCGTCGAAATGATTGGCTCTCCATGCCAGAGCAAAGCAATGTCCATAGCAGCTGAAGCCTGTGCTTCTCATTGTCTTCCGTAGTTAGCGATTTTAATAATACACAGCTTGCCAAAATTATGAAAGACCTTTCTGGGGGAATGTGACAAATTATTTCTACTAGTATGTCTGAAATTGAATCTTGAGAACCCTGTAAAACATGTCTATATGATGGCAGCAATGGCATTAAGGAATAGGCTCTGGTAACACAGAAGACTGGGAAATTCTGTGAAATACTTTTTGTCGTATCTGATTATTTGGGTTTGTCTCATCTCTGCGAACTATTTTAGGATGAAAACGTAGCTATTAATTGAAATATGCGTTCAAATGTAATTTTAATTCCTTTTCAGCTCATACAGGATCCAGATGTCAAGACCAAAGTCAAAGTCCAGGCCTTAGTATATCCTGCCCTTCAGGCTCTTGATATGAATTTACCATCATATCAAGAAGGATCAGATTTTCCAATTTTAACCCCCTCAACAATGATCAGGTTTTGGAGTGAATACTTCACTACAGACCGAACCCTGGAGAAAGCCATGCATCTCAACCAGCACGTACCTATGGAATCCAGCCATCTGTTCCAGTTTGTGAACTGGAGCTCCTTGCTCCCTGAGAGATATACGGAAGGTCACTTGTATAAGAGTCCCACTCCTGGTAGTTCTGAGCTGTCTAGAAAGTACCCAGGGTTCCTGGATGTGAAGGCATGCCCTCTGTTAGCCAATGACAACACATTGAGCCACTTACCTCCGACCTACATCATCACATGTCAGTATGATGTCCTGAGGGATGACGGAATCATGTATGTCAGGCGGCTTCAAAATGCTGGAGTTCAAGTGACTCACCACCACATTGAGAATGGGTTCCATGGGGCATTTACCCTTCATGGTTTTAAAATTGCGTACAGGTTGCAAAATCAGTACTTCAGTTGGCTTATGGAAAATCTATAGGAAGACCTACATAATGATTTTCTGGAGATATATATGAAATAAAGTAATAAAAATCATCATTTCGAAGTTTCATATACTGTTTAAAACATCTCTTGTTCCTAAGGAGCTGACAGCGACTGTGTTTTGTTATTGTTATTTATCATTAGCACATACTTTTCTATTGTATCCTTTGTCCTGTGTTGACCCACAGGGACACACCTCCAAGCCAGGGTTGTCTGTGGGTGCTGATAATCCAAATCCATGTCCTTCAGCTTGTACAGCAGGTATTTTAATCAACTGAGCCATGTCTTCAGACCCAAGTTCCATAACGATTCTACAGGGTGCTTTCACTATCCATTATCACTACACATATAACAAAACTGGGGCTTAAGGAGTGAAGTAATAGCATATGTTCTAAATCCAGATGCCAATCGTTAAAATGACTTTCAAGTAACGTGGCATGTCAACACCAATGACTTTACGTTTGGGAAACTATACTTCGTTTTATACTTCATCATTGAAATTGAATTTGAGCATTTTTGCCCTTTGCTCTTGGTATATCCTCTGAGCTACATTCAAAGGAAAACACAAGTGTAGCAAGAGATTTTGACAACTAATTAAATAGCTGGTGGACATAAAGGACACAAATGGAAGAGTACAGGGGAAATAATTTTTTTGTCTTTTTTATTTTTAAATTTAAATTAGAAGCAAGGTTGCTTCACATGTCAATCCTAGCTCCCTCTCCTTCTCCCTCCCCTCCTCCACAGCCTCCCACCAACCCCCCCGACTCCCCTGCCCCAATCCCCACTCCTTTCCCCAGCGAGGGTGAGGCTCTCCATGGGGGGGGTGATGTCATTCCATCCAGGGCAGGGTCTGGGCCCTCCCTCAAGAGTCCAGGCTGAGAAAGCATCCCTCACTGTGGGATGGGCACCCAAAGTCCATTTCTATGCCAGGGACAAATACTGATCTACCCAAGGACCCATAGATTGCCTAGGACTCCTCACTGACACCCACATTCAGGAGGTCTGGGTCAGTCCCATGCTGGATTCCCAGCCATCAGTCCGGGGTTCAAGAGTTGCCCCCGTTCAGGTCAGCTGTTTATGTGGGTTAAACAAGCCCAGTCTTGATCCCTATGCTCATCATTCCTCCCTCTCTGTCACTGGGTTCCTTGAGTTCAGCTCAGTGTTCAGCTGTGGGTATCTGCCTCTGCTTCCATCAATCATTGGTTAAAGTTCTGTTTCCCAGACTCTCTGGCAGTGGGATTGTAGGCTGGCACTCCACTGATCCATATTTAAAAGCCATATATATGAGTGAGTACATACCATGTTTGTCTTTTGTGACTGGGTTACGACACTCAGGATGGTTTCTTCTAATGACCTCTCCTTGCCTGCAAATTTCAAGATTCCTTTTTTTTTTCTGCTGAATAGTACTCCATTGTGTAAATACACCACATTTTCTCTGTCCACTCTTCAGTTGAGGGGCATCTAGGTTGCTTTCAGGTTCTGGCTATTACAAATGATGCTGCTATGAACATAATGGAACAGATGTCCTTGTTGTATGAATGTGCATCTTTTGGGTATATGTCTAAGAGTGGAATTGCTGGATCTTGTGGTAGACTAATTCCCATTTTCCTGAGAAACCTCCATATTTATTTGCATAATGGAAGAGTAAATTGAGTAGTCCTACTTACTACTCCATCACCCCTAATGCAGAGTCCCAAGATAGTAGCAAACTAAAAGCTCATGGTTTACTCCTACACATTTGGCAAGTGCTTTCTCTTTTCCTTTGTTTTTGTTTTTGCTTTGCCTACTAGATGAACTTCTGTTACAGTTTGTTTTCATTGGACAGGATTCATCTGATTACAGAAGACCTCAGGAAAGCAGGAGCCTGGTCGTACATTGTTACTATCGTGGTAAGGGCAACTTTGGCTTGGTGAGTATGAAGAGAATAGTGGTGTTTAAAAAGAGATTCATTTTGTGTTTAAATTTATGTTTGTGCGTATGTGCATGAGGGTGTACACGCGTGGGTGCCAGTACCCACCATGACCAGGTGTATTGGATGCTCTCAAGCTGGAGTTCAGGGCTGCTGTGAGTTGTTGATGTAAGCTCTGGAAGCCAAACTCAGGCTATCTACAAGATCTCTAGGTTCCAGAATTGTGGTTTCTCGTATTGGCAATAATAGGAAAATTTCTCTCTGAGGGGGGGGAAAAAAAACAAAGACGACAGTGATTCAAATGATTAGCTGGGGACGGAAATGCAAATGACCTAAACTATTAGAAACAGACCAATCAATAATATTTCTAAAAAATATCTTAGTTCAGACTATACATCTCACTCATGCATGAGTCAAATAAATGATTGTCTCCACTGTGCAATTACAGAAGCACAGGCATGCAGCCTGTTAGGTACCATTGGGTATATAGCAGTGAGGGCACCAAAATCACTCCTCTATACTGACTTGTTAGAAACACTATGAACGTTCACAGGATTATGGACCGACCATATGAGAGACATCATTCAATATTTATCTTTTTGTGTCTGTCTTATTTTGCTTCGTAGAGCAATTTTCAGCCCCATTCATGCATGGTCTTGCAAAAATGTCCAAGTCTTAGTTACAAACAAATAAAGACATCTGGATTCAAATTCACATATGTGCGTGGGTGCATGGACGTGCGTGCCTGTCTAAGACATGAAAATGACAGGGGAAGAAAAGGCCAGGGGAGGAAAAACAGGAGAGCGTAATGCAATATATGTGACCTTAAAGAAAAAAAAAAAGCAGAGACTGCTTGAATGGAGGATGTGCGGTAGCAGCAGATGAGAAAGAATGGAGACAAAACGTGCTGATGCCGACACATACGACAAAATGAAACAATATAAACCATGGCTTGATATCTTAACTTAAAGGTACCTTTAAAAAGTCGTGCACGTGTGTTTGCCTCTGCTTCCATCAGTCACAGGATGAAGGCTCCCGGATGGTTATAGACATCAAGTTCATTATCAGGAATGGGCATTCGAGGTGGTCTCTCCACTATTGCTTAGCTTGCCAATTGGTGTTATCCCTTTAGATCACTCGAGGTCACTCTGGTGCCTGATCTGTATTTGATCCTATGATTCCCTCTTCCCCCTATTCTACCCCCACCCCCTCAGCTTCCTGTTCCCCCATGACCAACTCTCTTCCTCTTCACCCCCTCTCTTCTTCCCACTGAACTGAACCCAAGGAACCCCGTGACAGAGAGAGAGGAGTGATGAGCAAATTGGCAAAGAATGGGCTGGCAAAACCAGCAGAGACAGCTGATCTGAACAGGGGAGAGCTCTTGGACCCCAGACCGACAGTGGGGAGGCCAGCATGGGACTGATCTGGACCCCCCAAATGTGAGTGTCAGCGAGAAGGCCTGGGCAACCTATGGGGCCCTGACCTGTGGATCAGGGCCTATCCCTGGTGTACACACAGTCTTCGTGTGCCTATAGCACAAAGAGGGATGCTCTCTCAGCCTGAACTCTTAGGGGAGTGCCTGGACCCTACCCAGAGTAAAATGACAGACTCTGATATCCCCTATGTGGAAGGATTTGGCAATAGGCTGGGAGGGTGGGGGGAAAGGGAGTGCGGAAGGAGGGGAGGGAGCTATTTAAAATTAAAATAAAAATAAAAAATGATTTAAAAAAAAAGTCGTGCACGAAGTGACGGCTCCGGGCGTGAGCATCTCTTTAGACTATTGTCCACGAAATCCCCGGTAAGTGCTGGTACACGCCGGTGTCCTTAGGATTTGGACCCAGACTCAGATGCAAGTCAAGAGAGGCTGAAACGGAGCACTGAACCAAAGCGCAAACGCATTGCACTAAGTCAGAATAAACTAGAGGTCCGTGGCGGAAGCTAAGCAACAAACCGGATCCAAAAGTTGAAAACATCCTAGAGCTCCAAACAGTTTGGATAGACATCTGGGTGCTTTTCCCGAGGTTCATGAAAAATATTCAGTTGTGAGGTGGGGAACTCAGTAAGCCTGAAGGAAGATAATCAGAAGGGAAATGAAGGCACACTGTAACCAAACTAAGCATAAAAAAATTTCGGGGAGAAAGACAAAATATTACAAATAGCAAAGGAAAACCGTTACACTCAGAGGTAAAAAGCTTTACTGAGCAGCCATTTTTTTTCCTCAGCAAACTTTTTTTTTCCTCAGCAAAAGGCAATCCGATGGTCCAAAGAACAATTAAAGTGATATGCTTACAATACAGCACAGAGACTCTCAACAAGAAGGAGGACAAAAATTAAATCACGTGGCCAACAACGACAAAAAAACAAACAGCAATATTTCTACTTAGAAAACAGTCCTTTTGAAATACAGGAGAGAAAGACGTTCCTAGACACAGGAAACTAAGTGACAAGTGACAGTCAGAACCAGGCGGTGTATATCATATAAGAAATGGTGACAAGATTTGTCAAGTCAAACGTTAATTTTTGCAAAGAAGTAACTCTTGGTTTCACTGATCCTTTGAATACTTTTATTTCCATTTCATTAATTTCAACACTGATTTTGATTGTCATTTTGCATTTAATTTAGGTGGTGAGCCTTTTCTAGGCTCTTCAGGTGTAACATTAAGTTTTTAATTTGAAATCCCAATTTTTTAATGTAGGCACACACAGCGTTATACATTTTCCTCCTGCAAGTGCTTTTATTGTGTCCTATGGATTCTGATATGTTGTACATCCAATCTAGGTTTTTATTGCCCTAGCCATATAAACCATGACCAAAAGGAACTTTGGGAAGAAGGGGTTTATTTGGCTTAGCAGTTACAAAGATCCATTATCAGTGAAAGCCAAGGTAGGAACCTGGAGGCAGTAACTAGAGGAAAACTCCTTACTAGCTTGCGTGATCTTCATGCCTTGCTCATCCTGCTTTCCTGAGGGATGGCACAGTGGGCTGGATTCTTCCACATCAATCATCAATCAAGAAAACACCCCACAGGCATATTAAAGATATGCCAGTCTGAAGGGAACCCTGGAAATCCCTTCTTGGATGACTCTATCTCTTGTCAAGTTTAGCTAATATTAGGCAGAACAACGTGTTTTCATTTTTCTTTTA